GTGCTTGGAAGCCAGATCAGTCCTTTAGCATTTGCTAGGCAGGGAAGATTCTGTAGGGATTACTTCTCTATCAGAGTACTACAGCGACAGCAGCTATGCTGCCAAACTTCTTCTTGAAAAACAAGTGGTTTCAAAACTTGTAATCCTTTAAGTATGAAGTTAATTTAGATTGTAGCAAACCTGCTCTAGAAATATCTGGGAACGAATACTTGCAACTCTGCATATATAGTTGTAATGGTGAAGTCGGAAGAAAAGTGAATTTCTTCAAAAATGCATCTGAACAGAAACCTCACATTAACCCCAAACTCTACTATCATACTTACGAGTGGGTCAGGACTGGTGATCTCCAGCTGTCTTTGTTGATGTCTCCTAGTACTGAAGGTGCATGATAAACCAGCTCTTATCTAAATGGTTTGGGGGTGATTTTAGGAGCTATTTTTGTTTGCAGAGTTGTATGAGGAACAATCCTGAAGTATATATATTTGGGTGGAAGTACATCTACACATATGCATGTGATGGGGCCAGGGGCAGATTAAGGCTCACTGGTGCCCTAAGCACTGACCAATCTTGGTGCCCCCAATCTTGGTATCATAGCACCTCACCAACAAAAAATAGAAGATAACCCTAGGGTGCACCATGATCAATGTGCACTAGTTTTATCAAAAAAAATTTTTTTACAAATCTTCATTCGTGTTTTTTTTCTTTTCACCCTTTCCCGAACTTTTCGGTGCCCTCTTCGGCCCTGGTGCCCTAAGGACGTGCTTAGTCTGCTTAATGGTTAATCTGCCCCTGGATGTGGCAATTTCAAGGAATGGGGGGGGGGGTCAACCAATTACATATCTTGAAAGGGCAGCAACGGGGGAGGGGGACACCTGCAAGGCCTAGGGCCAAATATTACACAAAACAAGGGTTTGCCTTTAGTTTGGATGCTCAAAGGATCATATGGTCAGGTAGAAATGTAAGAATTCCTGTCAACAAATGTGCTAGACCAGAGGTCCCCAACTTTTTTTTTTGAGCCTGTGGGAACCTTTGAAATCCTGACACAAGGTGGTGGGCACAACCACTAAATGGCCATCATGAGAGGTGGAGCCAACCACAAAATGGCTGCCATGGGAGGCAGAGCCACAGACAAAGAAAGCCCAAGTGGAGAAGACAAGCATAGTAATTTTAAAAAAAATACACTGGAAAAGAGAAGTGAAAGAATAATACCAACACTGTGCTGGTGGCTGCCAGCAAAGCAACAGTATTTTAATTTGCACAGCCAATTGGATCTCCAGAGGTCAATAAGAAGCCTTGCTGGGGAGAAACCACCTGCCCCGGTTTCTAAAAAAACTTGGCAGGCACCATGTTGGAGACCCCGGCGACAGGCTATTCCGTTACTATGAGCTTCAATCACAAGGTATAGGACCACTTTTGGTAACATTTGGAAATCACAAGTCCAAATAGATCGCCATGGTAGCTAACAGGGAGAGTGACTCATAGAATATTCTTGCTTATGGCTTTATTACGTAAAGCTGTGCAGAACTATTGGTGGGACATACTTTGAACCAGCATGAGGCTGCAAGCTTTTAGTCACACCACTAAAGGAAGCTCTGTGATATATAATCAATGTGAAGAATATGGCAAACAACCTCTAACAGAATCAATACAAATTTCAATTGAACAATTAGTATTTTTGTACTGCTATGTCCTATAATTTCTTCAGTTGGCAGGTATTTACTTTTTAATTGGCTGTTAAAATGGTCATTTATGTAACTAGCAGACCAGTTCAAGCAGAAACAGTTTGTGACATAGTACTGCAATATTTGACAAGTTTACATGGGTGAATACTTTTTTAAAAAATATTATGCTCTCTGCACCACTGAAAATGCAGGTGACATAACAGTCTAGAATTTACCTGGTCTAGATGACACCAGAGATCCAACCCAGTGCTTCTGCAGTAAGGATCCCAGATGCTTTGCTTTCTGCTCAGTCTGGGCTATTCCTTTCTGAAGGAGGCTGCCATGTTCTTGCATGGCACACACTCAAAGAGTTTAAGAAACACAGTTGTGAAACTATTGATATTCTACCAATAGGATGCAACTTGTCACTAAATTTGGCCTCCCTAATGAAGGGCTAAACAATTGCCGGTGTAACAATGATTTTTTTAAAAAGGAAGATCTGGGATCCCTTGCTCCTGTCCTCCCAACAATCCTTTCTAACTCCATGAAAGTTAACCTGATAAGTATTCTGGGTGGACTTGAGGAAAATTATTAAAAGTAGAACATGCACACCGAGGAACAATCAACATCTTATCTAAATTAGTTTAGAAAACTGATATACTATGTTTCCAGAGAGCTGCTTCTGCAAAGGGAAGTCCTGTCTAATCAACCTTTTGGAGTTTTGAGAGTATTAACAAGTTGAAAGCTTTTAAGAAGTCCAGGTTCCTCAACAGGCTCCTTAATAAAGTCATAGGATAACAGTAAAGATCCTCTTATGAACTAATAACTGGTTAAACAACAATCAGAGTGTAGGAGTAAATGGCCACCTTCAGTCTAAGGCAATAAAGATATAAACATTTTAAATTAATAAGAGAAGCAAGCACTGAGATTTCCTGGGGGATTTGTATTAGGACCAGCATTGTACAATGTGTTCATAAACAGACATAGGTGAGCGGTGAAGTGATGAAGTTATTCAACATGGCACAGACAAAGAATATCTCTCTAAATGAACTTATGGACACAGCAGAGAATGAGGTACAACACCAAGTAACACACTCTTGGGCAAAATATAAATCTCACCAATAGTAGTAGTAACTAATCAAGGAAGATGTTATAGTTGTAGTGGGTAGTTGACTGTAAATAGAGGTTCTCATTCTCTGGGTTGCAGGACCCTTGGGGACTATTATCCATGCAGGTGTGTCTGTGTGTGAGTGGGTGGGGTTGGACTGGAGAGGAAGGAGACAAAAATCGCCTTTCTTATCAGCGAAGATTCACATTTGTCAGGAACGTTCACTAATACATTGCTAGGTCCAACCCACTAAACACAGTTCTAGTAGGGCCATCCTAAAATGGATATAGTATAGCAGGAAAATGGCAACCATACTAAGGGATTGGAACATCTTTCTTTCAAGGTAAGGCTAAAGAATTTGCAGCTTTTCAGTTCTGAGAAAGATGACCAAAGAAAACACTATGTACAGGTTTATAAAATATGCATGTGGTAGGGGAAAGCGGGGAGAAACAAACCATTCTCCCTGCCCCCAAATACTTGCAATCAGGGGCACCTAGTGAAGATATGGCACAGTAAACTCAGGAGAGGCAAGATAAAGTATTGATTCATGATAGTGTCAAGCAGTTAAGTCAGGGATCCCCAACGTGATGCGTGTGGATGCCCTGGTGCCTGCCAACACCTTTCCTGGTGCCTGCCAAGCGTTTCTAGGAAGCGGGTGGGGCCAGATAGAGCTTTTGCCCAGCAAGGCTTCTGAATGACTATTGGAGATTTGATTGCCTGTGCAGATTTTTAAAAGTGCTGCTTTGACAGTAACTGCCACCACGGTACAAGAATCTTCACTGTGTGACTGAAGTAAAGCTGTGGCAGCCGTTTTCCATCATGCCATGTCGAAATTCCAAAGGTGCCCACAGACTCAAAATAGCTGGGGACCCCTGAGTTAAGTACATAATTAGAAAAAGCAGCTTAAAATTTGGATTTCCCCCCCAGGCTTTTCAGTTTTCCTATCTATTTTCTGTCTGAATATAAAGCCTTTATGTCAATCATTTGTAGCATTGGGATTGAGTGGCATCAATATGCAGATAATACCCAGCTCTATACAACCTTATCCAAATCCCCTCCCTGGTGATGTGGTAGAGGTCCTGAATTATTGCCTGGCTGTTGGGGTAAATTAGCTAAGAATGAACAAATTGAAACTAAACCAAAAAAAACAAACAAACCCTAACAGGGATAATACTGGTTAGGAAGGCAGAGATCTTGAAGGTTATTGTGTCCCCCATTTTTGATGGAGTTCAGCTGACCCTCACTGACTTGGTTAAGGGCCTTGGAGTTATACTGGACCCAACTTTATTAATGGAGAAATAAGTTAATGCAGCTACAAAAAAAAAGAGGCTTTCTCCAAACTCAGCCTAGCCCAAAAGATGACAAGCTGATCTGACCACCTGGAACCATGTCACAGTAACACCAAGACTAGACTACTGCAAAGCACTGTACATTGGTCTCCCCCTCAAAATCAAATTGGGAACTCCAGCTGAATCGTGCCACGGCACAGCTGTTATTGGAAGCTAGATGGAGTGTTTATATTACTCCCATCCTACAGGCATTTCACTGGTTGCCCCTCAGCTACTGAGCTCAATTTAAAGTATTAGCTATCACGTACAAAGCCCTTTGGCCTTGGACCCTCATATCTGTGAGACTGCCTCTCCCCCTATACTCTACCATGACAGCTTTGTTAATCGGAGCAGGGTCTTCTGCAGGTGCCAACCTGCAAATGGGCAAAATCAATAATTGTCCATACATGTGCATTCTCTGTTATGGTCTGCCTGAGGAAATTATTCAAGAGGGCTTTTCTACACAGGCAATAGAGTTGCAGTATATTAAATGGTTCACAAAGGTACCTGAATAAATTATTAGTGACTGTGGTTTATATTACTGTGTTTAGCTTGCTGAAACTAGGATACTACTATGTAATTTTTGCATCATTTAATGTTTCATGTTACTACTTGTGCTTTGATTCCATCCAGTTTTAGACTTCCGGTTGGTTCTACAACCCTAATTCCTATTGCACTGTTCACTGAATGTCCCATTCTGTTGCTTGCATTGACTCACTCTGTGTAATCCACCTTGAGTCCAAGTGAGAACAGTGGACTACAAATAACATAAAATAAATACATGTATGTTCAGTAAAACTGTAATATTTAGTCTCTTTGGTTATATGCTTCAAATTCAGCATGGGTGTCCTACACAAATACAAAAAGCAATACCATATAAGCAACTAAAACAAATGTGGCTTGTTGCTCAACTGATCATTTATTAAAAATGCATCTCAAGCATTTATATCTTTATCGAACAGCACAGAGTTTAAATCTCATACACACAGTGGTAGTAGGGTGCACTATACAGCATGGAGAAAAGAATTCTACAGTTTCACTATAAGTTACTAGATTGCTTTAAGAGTACACAGTTATATTTCACAATTAAAAATACAAGTTTACCCAAAACATTTGGCATAAATTTCAGTACAACACATGAAGGCCCACCAGAATGAATGAAGGGGAAGGGAAGTTTTGTTCCAGTAAGTCCATTATAATTCAAAAGGGCTTTAAAAAAAGAACTTCTGCCAATATGTCTAAGTGTCTTTCTAGCTGTGCAGAAGGACGTCATAAGGGATGAAGGCAATGCAATAAAAAGGCAAACCTCACAAGCATAAGTCTTCAAAAGGTATTAAAAAGCAATTTGCACAAAAAGCTATTGCTAAACATTTCATAATGTGATTTCACTGAAATTCTGAGTTAAGGCATAAGCCCCTTCCCCTCCGCATTAAAAATTTAGAACATAATTAATGAATTGATGAGTATGGATAACGCTACAGAAGAGCAAGAATCGTCTTGCATCTTTTTTACATCTACCGGGGGGGGGGAATCCAAAACATTTAACATCACAGCAGACCATGTGAGACAACATGTGAAGGAGAAACAATAAGCAGCTTTGTCAAAATAGGCCCTTTAATCAATTCTGTGGGTACTGAAATGTTCATTTTAAGATAGTTGGCTTGAAGATTCATCAGTCTCTCATCTCAATACACAGGGTTAAGCACTACTAGTGTACTGCACTCGACAGTTTGCCTTTTTAGACAAACATCTTTACCTAGGTATTTCTTCTGATCATTTCCAATTACATGTCAAGAGTTCCCATCTTACATTTACATTAGGATCTATCAACACAAGATAAAGTGCAAGGCTCCCAGTCCCCCCCCCCTCCTCCCTACCCCAATATTGCATTTAGCTAAAATTTGGAATACTGTTTAGAAAGATTTTTCTCAGACAAATCATCATTTCTGGGATACATCTTGCTCATGGCTATTTTTACTCTACTTTTGAAGTCTAAAGATACTCTAGCCATGGGCTACTTTGGCTTATTATTATTATTATTTTTTGCTGGCCTATGCAGGAAGTTTTCTTACAGACAAATCTTTCAGGTGACAGAACATAAGATTTGTTTGATTTAGCCTTTTGAACCTGTAACTTAGGAATTTCATAAGATCAATGGCAAGGCTGCTTTTCTGAATCATAATTCATGAAGTTCCTTGCAAGACAAAATCTGAAAATCTGAACTTTAATGCAGGAGTCTGTTTTGTAATATTTACACACTGCGGTAACAGTCTTGGAAGCTGAATCAACCACATGAAATATTCTCCGATAAGGGTATGACTACTATGAATCACATTCTGTATTTATGTAATTCAAGTACTACAATTGCCATTGCACATTCCCTTCCCTTTGTTCTCTCCTTCATTCAGCTCAAGGGATGAACAAAAATTGTTGCACTAATAGAACTACAGCAATAACAACAACAAATAATGCACCGAGGATCACCATCTTTGATGAAGTTAACCTCATTATAGAAGATGTGCCACACTAAGGTCTTCAGCTCTGATGCAAAGCCCATTAAGAATAATGATGGCTTCCTTCTAGTTTTAAGTGGGTTCTTATGTTGGTTTGAAGGCTCTGAACAGTCCTTTTACTTTGGAGCACATTTCATTCAATAAGAGAATTGGCCGGCAACATGACCTTCCACTAATAATCTTCAAATGTAGAAAGCCTACTATCAAGCCAAAGTTCATTGCTGAACAGCTCCATGTGAAATCCATATCTGATATAAGATTAAATACAACCCACCAGTTTGTATGAATGAACATGTCAATGTGACTCTGTTCTCACATATTCTATTTTAGCCATTGCGTAAGGATTCATATCGTTTGAAGCTCAAAAATGCTGATGAAGGTTTTATTAAAACCACAAGGAATTGGAAAGTTTTCCTTAAATGGCATGCAGCATAATCTGCCATTATATTAAACAATTGCATTGTGGTGTTTTTGAAGATACAACACTAGATGTTCAAGAACCACAGGCTTCTCCCTGAATATAGGTATTGCTGTTTTCAGGATAAGGATTGCTAGCACAAGAAGCCATGAAAGTGGCCCATCCTATCCACCATGACATTTGCTTAATGCTCGTTGGTGAAGCTGAGAGTAAGGCATGTTACAGATGTCTCAAAGACAACAGGATTCAAGAGTTATGACATCAACAATTCCTCAGATTCTATGACGAGATCCATCAGTCTGACACTCATTTGAAACTTGTATTACGAAACATGCAAGTTTCACTTCATTTGATATCTTTGAGAAACAGGAGTTTTGAGATGAAATCAAGCAAAACCGCTCCTGAGCAGGCAAGGGCCTGCTATCACATTTCCCTGTAAATCCTTTTGATCTTGGCTGACACAGTGCCGCACTTGCTTGCTTTACAATAAGCCCTAACACTATGGATTTTATTTTTGGTCTAGAAAGGATGCACATGTCTCTTGTATTTCAGAAGAGACTCTTGCCATGGTCAAAATGCATACACAGATATTCTGAATTCACAAAAGTTCAAAGACCGTGAGAAATAAACTCAAGACTTCAATTACAGAAGATGGCAGTTGGCTTGGCTTGGTTCTTTCCATGAAGGGAGAAGCAACACTGTGAGGTCAACTTTAAAACACCAAGCATCAATCTGAATTACTTAAGCACTATATCTACTTATATATGGAAAAGAATGTTAAAAATGTGCTCAACATATACATGCAATGAGGCTGTCTGAGAAAAAAACACACTCATAAAATGGCATCCAATGAATTGGGATATTTCAGTGATAAGGTGCACTGGCAACAGATACCCTTGTTTCTTGAACACCTATTTTCAATAGAAATAAACACAAACAACTGTAAATTAACTTTGTATAAGGTTTTAACTTTGCATCTGGTTTTTCATACACTTTGCCAGAACTAAAAAAATTAAGCAAGGTAGTTCTACATTTCTTGCAAATGCAGATGTCATGAATTATGCAGCATCTTTCAAAAGGTAATAATTAACCAAAGTAAAATTAAGTTTTTGAAAATTAAAACCCACTATCAGAGTGCTTCCCAAACACTTGAATGCCTGCCCATCTCTCACAGTAAAATTTTAAAGATACTTCACAGCAAAATTTAAAAAACCACTTTTGGAGCAGATTCTCTTATACAACATAAAGATTGTTTTCAGTGGAGTTTATTTCCAGAACACAGTGATCAGGACTGCTGTTTTATTAAACAAGTCTAAGGACTACAGCAGTAAACGACAGATGATGTTAACAGTTTCCAAGTTTATGATGAATAAGATGCAAAGTGACTAGAAGAAGGTTACAAACTGTTCTTTGGGAAAGTCTTAGGTAGGCCTCTATAGGCTATGACCCGCCACATGACAATTCAGCAGCCACGTACAGTAGCCCTCTATGAACAGCTTTTGTTGCCTATTTGTGATTAGAGAAGAGGTGAAGATATTGTCAAACACCTGGCCAAACTACGTAGCTGGGGGGCTGTGTCTGTTTTGTAGGTCTGTTTTAGAGACTAACACTTCTTCCTATATTGAACTGAATGGCAAAATTGTATGTGCACTACAGCACAAACGGAACTTTGAGTCACAACTGGGTGGGAAGCAGTATGGAATTTGTATCACAATAGTAATTATTGTTAGGTTATTGCTGCACACTTCAGGAAGGCGCAGCTAGGAGAGACAGACGATTTGTCACCAGTTCTCACTGCCAAGTATCAGGGCAGAGGCAACTGTCAAAACTGATCCATATCTATCTACTAGAATAAACACTACTATTCCCAGGTTGTTTCAGTTCTAGACTCAAGCATCAGATGGGCCATTAATGCAGTGGATATGTCTTATGAGAACTAGATAAACTGCAATTCACGTGGCTTGCAAACAATAACCGTTCCAAACCGAAGATCATAGCTTTAATCTGGTGTTTCATGTACTGACTGAGGGCCCATACCAACTAAAGAGAAGAAACTTTCAGCTTCAGGGTAATGTACACACTGAACTCTAAGAGAACGGTATGTACTGTATTTAAATGCTCTCTATTAAATGGCATACATTAATAAAATGTGGGAAAACACTAAAATATTCAATAACTTTTGTGAATTCAGTACAACGTTTCTAACAGTTCAGCAAATAAGCAAGGCAGGCTATCTTAACATTCCTAAACTATGACCCATATACACAAAAAAACCTGGGGGACTTGTGAATGTCCCTTGCTTTCATATGTGCAGACAGTGGTAAGCACACTTAGAAATAGAAGCCACAGACCAGATTTTCTGTAAGAATCCCAGTGTTGTGCCTAACCTGTGCCAGCATGTACTACATATGGATGATACAGTCTAGTCCAAGAATGGTAATCTTGTCTCACGTGGGGCTTGTCTTACACTTAAAGATGTATTTCAATCCTCTGGACAGCCGCTGACTGACTTCTTGGAGTTTTCCAGTGATACTTTAAGTTAAATGAAATAGCAGAAGTCAAACACATCCTGGAGTGATATATTCTATATTCTCTAGTTTACACTTTACAGAAGTGTTTAAAAGTTCTTCATAATGCACCTGATTTTTTTTTTTAAATATCACACTCAATGTCCAAGGTCTGCTTAACTTTCATTCTAGTTTGCCAGTTTCTGACTTCTGATCCAACCTACTCTTATTACTCTTCACCATATAGATGAAATAAGCAAGGGTCTCCTTCTCATTCACTGGGATGTTCCTGAAGTGGCGGCTGACAGTCTGAAAGAGAAAGTCAGAAAGCCTTAAATAGTGAACTAGCACATCAGCTATGGTTTCACCACAGTGGGTATTGATTTTTTTTTTTAAAAAAAATACAGATAACTTGGACACCATGGTGAACTGGACATCATCATTTAATATCATCATCATACTTGCTATGTATTTGTAAAACAGAGCCCAAATTAGAAGAACTAGCTTTAATAAAGTCAGAAATAACAGGTTTATTTCACATGGAACATAAAGGAAATTTCCACGACTGTAGTATTTAAAGAATACTAATAAGAAGCTAACACCAAGATTTCGTACCTGATTCACAATGGGGGAAAATATGCAATGCATTTCAATGCATTCCTGTACTCCAGTCTGTTCAATGAAATAACATGATGTAACCTATAATTCAGCCAACTAACCATTTTGTCCATATGTAGAGATCTGAAGGCCTGGGAAGGAGAGAAGAAAAATAAGTCCCCCCCTTGCCCCCTTCAAGGACTTCGCCTGAATTTTTCCAATGGAAAAACTGGGAGATTTTGGGGAGCACTGAAAAAAAAACCTCCTTCGAAGTATTTTATCTTGTGAAAAGTTAAATGCTTTTTAAGACAAGATGTTACTTCAGGGGTTCTCAATGTGATGTCTCCTGACAACTTTCCTGGCATCTGTTAAGTGTTTTTAGAAAGTGGGTGGGGCCAGATGGGGATTTTTAAGTTTTATGTTTATGATATAATACAGAGAGAGGCATTATGTAAAGTAATCTACCCATGCAAACTGCAGAGTGAGATTCTAAAAACACAGTGGGTCCTGATCCTGATCGAACATAATAGGGCTGCATAGCTAAAATGTTTAATGCACCTAACTGGAAATTCCACTGAAATAATTAGGACTTTCCAGTTTAATTCAATGGGAAGTTGATAACAACATCATTCCATCAAAGCCTGTTCTTATCAAAATCTGGCCAGAATCTCTCTTACTGTCCACATATGCAAGCTCTCACCAGCTTTCCAGTGCCAACTGTCATTCTTACAAGTAATTGTGCAGGTTGAAAATGCTAGACTCATGAGACAAGGTTCCTAACCAGGGACTATCAAGGAGAAACATTTTTTCCCCTCGTGTACTAGATGCCTGCAAAATGAAGACAGATAATGCCAGATGAGGGGTTTTTAACTAGCTCAATATGTTTACTGATTCTGTGCGTATGCAAGAAAATATTTTAAATAAGTTAACTTTTAAAAGTATCCTGTTGAACAGCTTCTGCTGGAAATCCTGAATAACTACTATCAGAGTTATGCATAACTTCACTCCCTGACATCTTGTGATTGACTCTGCCTCCCATGGTGGCCGTTTTGTGATTGTGCCTACCACCCTCCATCAGCATTTCAAAAATGCCCACAGGCTCAAAAAACCTTTGTTTTACTCACTCAAAATGTACAGCATGAAAATTTGTATGAAAGAATCTACATTTAAATAATGTTAAACGTACATATGTGACATATGGTTGCTTTTTAAATGTGAATATTGACAAAATTAAAATGCTGTAATGTGTCTGATAATACATTAACAGCGCAATCAGCACAGGAAGAAGACTGACTCCCACACTGGTGTAACTCAGAGTTATGTTGGCATAAAAGGCATTCAAGCCAGCACAGGATATGAGTGGCACTGTGCTGCATAGTTCCACTGGCGCAGCTGCACTGCAGCCGCATGTCAGCAGAGTGACAGTGTGAGTCCCTGCGCTAGCATAAATGTGGGAATGCCTGGGGGGATGTGGTGCCAGTTAGGTGGCTCCCAAAGCATTTTCACCATGGGAGTGCCCCTCCCCCCCCAAAACAGGCACAAAGTTGCACCAGCAAAATGCTAGTGTAGCCCACTAGCAGCCATGGGAACTCCAAATTCACTCCCTTTCTACACAGCTGTGGTCACGCCCACAGGAACCAAAGCAGTTCAGGATACCTACTGAGTGCCCACCCAATCAGCATGCCCTCTGCGCTGACCTTGCCCCTCCTTGGCACCCAATCAGATCCCCCCACCCTACAAACAGTTCCAGAAGTAGGGCACATGGCACACAATGCTGCCTGACAGCTCCCTGCCATGCGGACTTAGAGCACATGCACCTCAGTGGCAGGCAAAATGAAGACAGGGCACCTAGCACCGCTGGGCAAGCATGTAGGGGGAATACTCGCAGGGAGAGCAAAGTCCACACTCTGTGGCTGACCTCTCCCAGATTCTGGGCCACACAGGTATACCAGGGCCTCCGCCAGGATCCCGTGGGGCAGCCATGTACGAACAAGTAAACAAGGCTCCCATTCTTTCCCTGGACCTACAACGGTGGCAATGAGCTGCACTGGTCATGGTGTCTCCCCCTCCTGAACTTTGCAGCCAAGGGAGAAAGTTGCAGGCCCCCAGTCGCACATGGATCCCACGCAGCAGGTGGGCAGGTCCATAAAGATGCCCTGGTGGTCACAGGAGACTTAAGCATTCAGGCTGCAGAAGTGGTGATGATTACAGTATACTCACAGCTCCTCCCAGAGGGCAATGTGGGCTACCTGGGTGCAGTCCACGGCACCCACTACATTAGGCAAGCCTCCGAATGCTGTGAACCCTGCCCTGATGAACACCAGGTCCCACTCCTCAGTGGGGAAGTGCACATGCTCCTGAAGGTGCTTCAGCTGTCCAGGTAGCAGCTGGCTGAAGACTGGGACAACTTCAGGACCTCCGCAACACCCCCCTGGAAGAACCTGAAAGGATCCAGTGGCCAGGAACCTCAGGGACAGCAGGACCTTCAGCAAGATGGGGATGTCACAGGGAGGAAGAGATTGGCCCTAGAGGACTGGGCCAACCTCCTTGCACAGGGCCTGGATAGCGGCTGTGTCTAGGCAAAACCGATTGAGGACGGTGCTCACCAACAGATTGAGAGCACTGATGCAAGCTTGGTACCAGAGAGCACAGCACCTCCTCCACCATCACTGTGCCACCCAGACATACAGTGCTGGTAGCAAGTGAATGTGGTGAACCCCTAGCATGGGCGGCAGGGGCACAATCCCGCCTGTGGCTGGCTGGGCTCCAAGGAGAAAAAGGATAGCATTCACAAAGGTGAAGGGTGCCCTGGGCCCTGGTCATCTGTGTGGCTGATGCATGCCCCCGCACGACGTACCCCATTGCTCATCGGCTCAGTGCCTGCCACCCGCCATCCCCTCCTGTCCGGTGATGACCATGGTGGGAGCATTGGGGGCAGAGCAGGAAGGGGTGATCAGTGTCTTCCCACGATGGATCAGCCCGGGACCTGCCACCTGCTGCCTTCTACCGCCCAGCGGTGTCCTGATTTCTCCACGCCCCATAGGTGACTCACAGTGTGGGGATACTGTTGTGGGGCTGTCCTCCAAGGTCGTTGGAGGAAAGGCGATGCAGAGGGTAGACTCGATGTCTTTAGACGGCAGCAGCGCTGCCCAGACAGATGGGGGGGGCAGGCATGGCAGTGGCAAGGAAGCTCCCCCTGGGCCAAGTGTCACTGCTACTGGTGCCCAAGAGAAAGGGGGGGGGAGATTCTGGCTCCTTGCCAGGTCCCCAGGTACAGGGCCCTCATCTGGCACAGCTCACCCTTTTTTCTATGGGAGCAGCAATTTAGCATGAGTGGAAGTCTTTTCCAGGGTGTTGGATGGTGGGTCTGGCAGCATTTGTGATGGTGGCTGCCAGGCGCCTGGAGGGGTGAGGGACAGGGACTTATTGAGCAGTTGCTCGGGGATCTCTCAGAGGCTCTCCAGGCCCCCTCCTGCTTGTCTTCAAGGGGGTGTTGCATGGTGGTGCCCTCAGCAGTGTGTGCCACAAGCTGGGCCAGGAACGGAGTACGGCACTGTCAGAGCATGGAGCAAGTAACACAAGAGCACCAGCTCAAGAAGTGTAGACAAGGTCCGGTTCAAGGTTAAACACAGAGCCAGGAATCTAGTCATAGAGTCAATCCGTAGAGCAAAGTCTGGGAATCCGAAGGTTACTCACTAGCAGGTTCAGGAGCAAGAAGAAGGCAGAGCAAGGAAACGATCCAACGAGTCACAAGGTAGAGGCAGGATCCGATGTAGTGGTTGCAGAGTCAGAGGGATTTTGACTTTTTGCTTCCACACCTAACAGCCTCCCTTGGATGGTTTTTATAGTCATATGCTTAAGGGTCATGCTTGCAGCCAGCTGCTCAGGAGTAATCCTGCAACTCAATCAGCTGCCATTGGGTCAGGAGGCATGCACTTTGTCATCTCTCCTTTAGTTCTGTTCATAGCCTCCATCTGCGGTGCTCTAAGGGTGTGGGTGATACTGGAGGGCTGGAAATGATCAACTGAGTTTCAACTCTTGAATCAGGGCTGGAGGGTGTTGGTGGTTCTTCACCAGCTGTTGGCTATGAATCCTGACAAGGCTGCAGCTCACCTTCCTGCTTGTTTGCTTCTTCTGACTCAGAGCTGGCTACATGGGGCTCCTCTTCCCCTGAGGAGTCCTTGCTCTCGCTGAGCCCTGGCTGACCCGGGACACTTGGCACCCTGCTGGACGGCGTGACTGTCAGTGAGCGGAGGGCACACACACATCTACATTCTTATCCATCATGGCCCTCAGGGGCCCTGTGCACTCTGTGTGCAGAGCAACACCATGGTGTCTGTGTGGGGTAGGCAGTTGATGACTCCCTCCCCTCTGACAGGTGGCCAGGGCTTCTGACAGCAGCCGGTCTCTTTAAGGGGTGTGTGCTGCAGAGGAGAAGCGAGGGCCCTGTGGCTCCCATTGACCCTGCCTGCCCTGTCTATTATACCACCCCTGCCTGGCAACAACACCAGGATGGAACACTGCGGGGGGAACACTGTGGATGCCACCGTGGCAGCACCCACCAATATTGACAGAGCAATTTCCCCACCCAGCTGCCCAGTAACCTCCCCCCTATGGAGGTGACTAGCAGCACCACCATTGTGCTGCAGCAGGCCACCGCAGCACAGGCGGAACAGAGGATTGCTTGGTTAGAGTTCAACTACCATTCCTTTCAGGTTGCAACTGCAGTATTACAAAGTTTGATACCCAAATATGCTGGCAGTCTTATTGGGACTGTAAGAGGTGGTTTCTATCCAAATACAACACTTTTACTTACTACCAAATTTGTTTTCTAATTTGAACTGTATTTTCCCTTTCTCTTAGTTGGCATATGTGCTAAGATTCCACAGGATGGAGCAGCTTGCAGCTGTCTCAAGTGCTGAGTAAATTTGCAGTTTTGCTTGTAGTAAACTAAGAATTTATCACTGTAACCCCATAAATATGTTAATCCAATTTTACACATTAAGGGTAAAGCAATAAAACGTGTCTAAAGAGAAAAATATGTCTAGGTGTGACAGAAGAGTACTACATATTTTTCTTTCTTTCCCGATTTCCTGTTTTTCCCAAGGAAAAAGAAATTCCCATGGCTTCAACATTTCTGGAAATTTTGCATCTCTATCAACATAAGGTATTACACGACAGCTCTGTTTGAAGGACATGATGGATTAGACCCAGTTATTTCTCTGACAGCTTTGACACTGGAGACAGGTTTCCCTAATTGTTAGAAAACACTAATTGGACCTTTAGTTTTGGTACATTTAGAGAAGCCGTTTCAGTAGATGGACCCATTTTTCAGTGTTCTAATTCTTACAAACTCACTAATACTTTCTTCTCATTAAAAAGCAGGTAGTGGTTTATTTTTTACCACTTTGTTGGGAAGAACAAAAGATTCCTCAAAACCTTTACGATGGTTACAAGTGAAGACCTGCAACACTTTCAGTGTGTGTGTGTGTGGAGAATCCCTCCCTCATTGTTGCTGATTCCATCCTTATGGCTCAGTGGGAGGGCCCAGGAAATTTGCAGGGGGAGGGGATCCCTTCCACTCCATTGCCAAAAAGCTCAGTGCCCCACTACCTACTATTGAGCCCTGTGTCCTCTACAGCCAGGCTGGAGCAGCTACCAATGTGCTCTTCAGCTGCTGCTGGGCCCAGGGGAGCAGCCAGCATCCTCCTCCACCATGTCTGGGCTAGTGCAAATGCTGGCATCTTCCACTGCTGCTGCCAGCCCTGGAGTGGCTGCTGGCATCCTCCACCGCTGCAGCTGGGCTGAAGTAGCTGCCAGTGTCTACTGCTGCTGCAGCCAGGTCCGCAGCAGCTGCCTGTTCCATTCTGCTAAGAGCACTGTCTGTGCAGGCACAGACAACGCGACTGTATTGGGGGGGATTTAACCCCCCATATATTTTCGTTAAGATTTTGGATTTTTCTGTAAACCTAGGGGGTTTTCCAAATTTGCAGAAAAATCTCTTTAGCATCTGTGTGGCTCCAACCTTCGAATCTGGACATAATAGCATCTACTGTAACTATTGTTCTTAGGTATTCCCGCAAGACATAGGTATTCACAGATTAGGTATTCATGAATTTAGGTATTCGCACACGTCGCTAATAGTATATAGATGTTAGGGTGCAAGCTGTCCAAGATTGGGAGTGGGGAGGAAATACCTAGACATACCAGGGAGTCAATACCTGAAAGAGTATTGCAAATGGTTGCAATCCATTTGGGAAGGCAGCCATCCCAGAGCTGCACTTTGCCACCACCTCAGCATCCAACAGCAACCGACCCGGGCAGCTCCAGAGGAACTGGAAGCAGGTGGAGCCGTAGGAATGTCTGAAGCAGCTTACAGCTTCTTGCAAGAGGCTGGAAGTAACTAGGGGGTAATGCACAACATGCTGTGCTACTTTAACATGGGATGCAAAAAGGGCCAATGAGAAGGACAAAACCAGAGAGCCAAGCAGTGTTCCCTCTAAGCTGAGTTAGTGTGAGCTAGCTCACAGTTTTTTAGCCTCTGGCTCACACATTTTTGTTTTAGCTCAGGAAGGATGGATCCAGAGCTAACTAATTTATGTAGTAGCCAAATTGCTCGTTAACAACTTTAATGCCAGTAGATCACAAAGTAGAATTTTTGCTCACAAGACAGCTTAGAGGGAGCATCGACCAGCAAGATAAATAAGGTGACAGTGAACCCCTAGCCCTCTTGGCTCTGAGGCTATAGTGCATCTCTAGGAGGCCCTTAGAGGTGAAGCTGATGGAGGGGCAGGCTGTTACACCCCCGCCCCCCAAAAAATCTGGATTGGACTGAAAATTTAATAGTGTTATTTTGAAATAGAAGAGTCTTACAAACTATGGGTATTATATCCATGAAAGCGATAGGACAGCATATGAAGAGTTTGTGCTGTTAAACAGCTAAGATGCTATGCTTTGAACCTAAAGTTCCTAGTTCAAATCTTGCCTGTGCCAAGAAGTCACTAGGTAGTCCTAGGCAAGCCATTATAACTCATACTCAGACCACTATTTGCAATTTTGAAATAATACTGGCTTATTTTTACAGGACTACTATAAGAATTGTGATTAAAAGGTATGTGAAACCCCCTAAACATTTTAAAATGCTATATGTCAAAGTTATTATTGATTCATCCCAGATGTTTTACCCCTGATTCCACGTGACCTTTTCCCCTCTACTTTGAATAACATATTTTGTTTATTTTTGAACTTTCAAAAGCCTTGTGTGTCATTTCCAGAAGTATAATAAGATGATCTTGTCTCTTCCCTAAATTCCTGGGCTGAGCCAGCATGAAAAAATAATAATGTGACAGGGTGGGACAGCCATAAACCTTCAAATAAGGAGAAAATAAAAGGGCTGCTCAGTCAGAAAGGGAAAGAAAAACAGAGGGAAAATCCTGTGTTTGAGTGAGGGAAGAGGGCGAGATCACCATACATGCACACAGCTGAAGAGAACTGAAAACCTGTAGATGTCTCCAAACACAACTACCAATAATTACTGTATGCTTTGGTATCAAGAATGCATAAGTAATCTCATAGTGGAGGGTAACATGTACTCCATTTTATGATTAACAGATGGAAAACTTCTAACCCACTTACTTCTGCTAGTTGAGCTTTATTGAGGCCAGGTCTTGTTTGCAACTTGTAATGCCTTTTATAACGGCGTAGTGTGTTTACCTGAAGTTGAAATAAGTCAACCTGTAAAACAAAGATGGCATGATGCATAGAGAAAAGGCAAATAGCTATCTATATCCTTACACTAAGTAAGAAACCATAAGAAGCATTCCTTTTCTATTTCAACCCAAGAAATTTTAGATCAAGATATATGTAACTAACACCTAAACAACACACAATACTAGAATACTATTAGTCCACCCCCCCCCCTGTATTTTTAAGAGAATGGATCATCCAATTTTATGGTCTTTGTTGACTTGAGATATTATGCGGGTGCAGTGAAAGGAATGCCATTCTAACCATTTATTTTGCAAAACAGGAAATCACTATCAGATTAGAAACCTGTTGTTGCTTGCACTCCTTAAAAAAATGAAGGCTATGGCTGGAGACTGTGCACTACTTTCCTCCCCTCATGTATAGAGCATGGTTGAAGAGTTTCTGATTTCACAAGTGTACAATCTAACTAATTTGTTCTGACCTCTGAATAATTTAGCCCTATGGAATCACAGTTACTTGGAAATAAAAATCCTAGTTTGTTGAAGTACCCACATTCAGGTTTTACAGCAACCTGGAGTTAGATCACAAACCTCTGAAACCAGAAACGCTTTCATTCCATTTTGCAGATAAGAATAGGAACAGTGACACATGTAACAGTAGACCAGAGCTGAGCTCACCACTAACAAATTCTGTTTTTTTTTTCTTTCTGTAATGTCTGACTGCAGCCCCAACCTTTATTCTACTTATATACGTAATTAAATGATACCCCAGTCAAACAATCCCATAGCACACTTTTTATTGATATTCATTTCAGCATAAAAGCCACATTTAGATTCTCTCTTTAAAGTGAACATAACTTCAACTTCTAGAGCTTACAACAAAATTTAAAAATAAGAAAAATCAGCTTAACTTGCATCTGGGTATATCCTGAACACAAGCCTTTTGAAGTTAAAAAAAAAATCCAGACCTTTGCAATCTGTTCAGTAGTTCGTTGTCAAGCAATGGGAAATGTGATGGAATTTAACGTGACAAGGAAATGTAGGCCTGGGAAGCAGGAAGTATCTACTGTGTACTAAAAGCAACAGTGTGATAAAACAAGGCTCCACCAGCTACTTGTGCTAGGACACATACAGGTGGCAAGAACTGCACTGAGTTTAGAACATAATTTAAGGACCCTACTGTCATGTTCATACCTATATTAGCTTTGCGTGACTACAACTAGCAACAATAATAATCCAAGAGGCTCTTTTGTGGCTTCAGGAAAGCCATGTTTTTGTTAGAGTGCTTTCCCAAAACCTTATTACAAGGTTCACTACAGACAAAAAATAAACTGAAAATTATACTGGATTATGAATTACAAACGAAACAGCAAGTAGTATTTTGTTGGATGCAAAATCCAAAATTCTGACCACTGAAGTCTTTGACAAGTCATACCTCAATTTAAACTACCTCACTGAGTTGCTAAGATGATATGGGGCATTCTGAACAATGCCTCAGCTTTTAAAATACTGTGGGAATAAAAGCTGAACTGGAAAGAAGAAATCTCCCTTTAATCTTAAAGAAGTATTCCCATTAATGTAAGAGAAAGTGGATGAAATGACAATTCAGTACCTTTCAGCTAAGTGGCAGTTACTTAACATAAGGAATAAAAAAATACTGCCAACCTCATGAGATAAGAAAGGGCTTGCAAGCCATCCCAAAGTGGTAGTTTCCCAATGCTATTTGATAAGTAATGTGAAAATTAAACGTTTTTTTGTGAAATAAAAACTGAAAAGCTGGATGTGTGATAGTCTGAGAGAAGAATCCAAGCATTCTGTTGCTACTTAATACAGCACTATCCTGACGCTCTGCCAGGAAGCTTGATAATCAATGTACTTGACATCACTTATGCACATGAAGTGACTGAACTCCTTGAATGGAGATAAGGAAAAACAGAAGTGTATTATTTACAGTGCATACAGTTACAGCCATATAGATAAAATGGTATTTACAATATTACTTATGTTTAAGAAAGCACTTATCCACATTACTTTAGGATACCGAAAATAGCATGAGATCTCAGGGCTGTTTAGCCTTCTTTATCATCACTTGATTAGAACATACAAAAGAGCCCTGCTGGAATAAATCAGTGGCTCATTAGTCCATCATCCGGCCAAGGGCTTCCCCTAGTACTGGTATTTGAAGGTGTGCTGCCTTTGAAAATAGAGTTTTCCTCAATTCCACAATTTAATTATTTATTGAATAAAGTGACTACTGGGGGCAGAATGACAGAATAGTCGTGCACCAGCCATCAGTTTTTGTTTCTGAGGACCCAATACAAACTAAAATTATATGTATCAAAAATTCAACTTGGACAGTGTGAACCAAATGCCAATACATATTTATGGAACTCTTTGTGTGGATTCTTCCATGACTTTTTTTTACAATTAAGAACAGATACAAAATGCTTTGCTTGCCAAGATACAGATGAAATACTCCATAGCAACAGGAAAAATCACTAGAGAAAAGCTTGGAAGAACATATACAATTTTGTAAATCACTCAATCAAAATAAAAATTCTCCAAGACACTGCTTCAGCCATGACAATGCACATAATCTATAATTTCAGGACCAACTATATAAAAAAGCTTATGCTTGACACTTCCTTGATAAACACTATCATTTAAACTGGGCCACAATGAAGAATGAGTCTAACATAACTGCTGACACTTATCAAAATCTGATGATGTAGTTCTCTTCTCTTCCCAGCAATTTCTCACCATGCATAGTCATGGTGGGTCTACAGGCCAGCTTGCTGGGACAGACTTGATTGGGTGTAGAAAGGTTAACCTGAAGAGGGCTTCAGGGGGCACACTATGGCTCTTTTGGCATTGAAGCAGCTGACATGGTTGAAACAGAAGTTTTATAAATACAAGACAGAATTTGCAATATATCATTATAACTTAGGTAGAGTATTTATTGTCACAACAGGTTAAAAAAATGTGGACAACAGTAATAAAACAACACCCCCCTATTTCAGTATAATAGGTACCTCTGGGACATCTATCTCATGCTCTGGTGAGTCTCCACCATCATCACTGGTCTTCCTCTTCCTTTTGTTTCGAACACTCTGAATGAAGTTCTTGTGGAAATCACATATATATAGATGTCTTACCTAAAATTTAAAAGCGAACAAAGATGGAAGGAAGACATAGGGTTAAAATTAGTACAGTACAAATCTATAGTGAAATACATGAGTAAAAACCTACTAAGTTATTGCCTATTCAGGCTCAGATTTTTTAAAACAGAAAGTAACTATTACTATAAGACTGATCTAACAACAATACAAGAAATGGTAGTAAAAAAGGACATAACTGTTTCTACCATCTTGTCATTTGAGATTTAAAGTGTAATATTTCTGACTGAACCAAGGAGCTTTTTACAGAGCAGTGCCAATCTATGCTGGCTAGCAGCAGCAATTCCTACTGCCACATGCAGTGGCGCTCCAGTTTGGAAGCCTGATGTGACAGATGCCACTTAATGTTAACACTAATTGCCTGGCAACAGTCTGCTTGATGCTAGCCAAGAAATAAACATGCTTGCAGATTTCTGGTTTGAAAGATGTTTTCAATCAGTTGAGCACTGGAGATTTGACAACATTTAAAGGAACTTGTTAAACGCAACCATTTTAACTTAACATATGCACATTTTTTAAAGTCAGTTACAAACGCATGTCATTCACAACAGCTTCCTGCTACAGGGTCAGAATTCACACTGCCAAACAGTCATTGCCTGCAATGTGTTTACACTATTTATGTTACACTACAGGCCTATTCGATCCTCACTCTTCAAAGTGTAGGAGCTGTTATAGTCTTAGACAACAGGATAAAAGGGCAGTGTTGTAATATCCGACTGGGTTGTCCATCTCCCCCATTCCTGTTATTGCCTACCCCCACCATACATCGCTAACTTTGTGCTATTGATCTATGCTCCTTTCATTCTGCCTCTCACATAAAAAATGCTTTTACATTTCAAGATCAATTGGATAGTTTTTTTTTGTCTTGTCAGTATTTATAACTTCACTTACTGTTAGATTTGTATGCAGCTGATTTTGAATCACGGGGAAAAACAGTACTCACCATAGCTTGTAAAGAAGAAGTTGTACAAAATATGTTTTCAAAAAGACCACTTATCCTGTGCTAGATACTAAAGTTAGCCTCATCAGCAGAAAGCAAAACCTGTATTTACTCACGTCTCTATGATAGTAACACAAACCACCAAGAAACACAGGGAGTTTGCGTTTTCTTTGTTAAATCTTTTACCAACTTAGTGCCTACTGATTTATTTTTATCAACTACAGTGAAAGTAACAGAATGATTGCTAAATGCTGCTGGTCTTCAACTACAGGGGCAGCTTTATAAGAGCAACAAATATTCCTGACAGATTTTAGAGCCCTTGAACATGGTAACTACCACATAAACAAACTGTACCTAGGCTAGGGCACACACTGTCAGAGTCCAGCACAACAAGATGAGGACTGCCAGCATAACTCACGCTTTTGTCAATGTCCAATTTCAGTTTTTTCTGTGAGATGCTCTTCTGGATCCTCTTGCTGAAGGAGGCATTCCCAGCCGGGCGGACACAGCGGTCCCCGTCGTCAATGAGGCAGCAGCTCTGTCCATAAAAAGGGGTGGTGGGAGGCCCATCCCGACTGTCTTCCTCAGTGCTGAAACCATTCATCGCAGCCTCCCACCAGCCCCGGGAGACAGGCGACGAAAGAAGCAGCACCTCTCCCGCCCCGAACAACTTTGCCGGGATGCCCCAAGACTTCCTCTTCACGGCGCACCTCGAAGCCTCTCCGGCCTACCCACCTGCTCTTAAGGGGACTTCACGAGCAGGCTGCCAACAGGGACGCCGAACACCCTTACCCTCCCCGATAAACTCCCGGGGCCCCTAGAAACTCTCAATTCTTCCGCGCAGTCCTCGCGCCACTAGGGGCCCCTAGAAACAGCTTATGGTGTCCGCTCTCCCTTGGCTCATTTGCTCGCTCGCCCCAGAACTGGCTTCACACCCGCAGACCCACAAGAAGAGACCACCCGATACAGGACACCCCAACAACCCCCCCCTTCCCTTGAGGGGCTGGCGGGGAAACAGGGAGGAAGGGAGTCCCTTCAGCAACTCTTGCCTCCCGAACCCCCTGACAACGGCCACCCGGCAGAGAAGGGCGTCCCTCGGGCTGCTCAGCTCTGAGCCTCCGGAGCCGGCAGCCCGGTACTTGCCGCTGTGCCCGGCTGCCGGCCCCTTCCGCCGACCTCGTCAGGCGCACCCTGCCTGCTACACCCTTACAGGGGACGAGGACAACGCCGAGCCCAGGCCAGGGAGCCGGGACACCCCGAGCCGCCAGCGCGCCTCACTCCCTGCCTCACTCACTCACTCGCTCACTCACAAAACCTGCCCGCTCTGCCTCCTCCCCTCGCAGCGGAAGTCCCGTCTCTGAGCAGGGGTTGGTCGACAGAGCACGGGAGGCGGGGTTCGCTCCACCGCTCATACAACCTATTGGACAGAACGGTTGTCTGTCAGCGGCTATAGGATACTTCCTGCAAAGGGGGAGTTAGTTGATCAGTGTTTGAAGTCCTCACCGGGGGGGGGGGGTTGGGGGGGGGATAAGCAAGAAGCTGAGGAACGGTAGAGGTAAGGGGAAGTCGCGCATCGGGTGGCTGTGTGGTGAGGGGAGACAAAAAGGAGAGGAGGCAAGCAAGCAGCAAAACGGAGGGAGGCTGGAGAGAACTGGTGAGGGCAATGTGAGGTGGTGTGGGTAAAAAAGGGAGAAGAAATATGCAGAAGAAGTCTGAGGTTTTCTGTGGCCCAGAACGGGAGACAGAACAGAAAGAAGCAGGGTCGGGTTTTGAAGAGCGGGGAGCCTGGAATTGGGGTCGGCTCGGGGCTGGGCTCAGGAAGCGGGGCATGAGCTCAGCTAGTAGGCATGCCGGACAAAGCGTCCTGTCATTCACGCATCCAGGCATGCAGAACGATTAAAATGCTGCCTGAAAACACTAGATCTCCTAAGCCTGACCTTGGTTCATAAGCACAATTCCATAGGCATGGGCTACCGCTGGAAACAGCAAAAAACAAAACATTCCCATCATTTTTCTGGTGCTGGGTCGATTAACCGTGAGCAACTTCTGCTTGCGTTACAGTCAGGTGGGGTAGCCGTGTTGGTCTGAAGCAACCCAACAAAGTTTGAGTCCAGTGGCACCTCAACAGGGATACTGGTTTCTAATCTCATTACACATGCTAACTCGTTCAGTCCTGACATATGTATTCTCAAGATATGTATTCTCATCTGTATTTTAGTGCATTTCTTTTTCAGAATAGTATATTAGAATGTATTAGAATACTGAACGTAATACAGGGAATATTGGGATGTTTTGCTGCATCCACCGCAAAAAAAAGAAAAAAATGCTGTTAAGTGACCTCCACACCTGAGAAGAGAGAATGGAGAGTATCAGTTTACTTCCCACAATTAGAAAAGATACTTTACACATTTCTTTGCTATTGTGACATGTTTATTGCTTTACAACTGTTGACCTTATAACCCTAGCTTGTTATTTAGTTTGTCTTTGCACATCTTCATCATGTTACATGTTAATTTGCTGTTCAGCCCTGTCTATACATTTGAACCTTACCTACCATTCCAGTGTACTTGAAAAAGTATACATGCGCGCAAAAGCTCATACCTTGAATAAAACTTTGTTGATCTTAAAGGTGCCACTGGCTGGACTCTAAATTTGTTCTAAAGTTTTATTCAGTGTATGAGCTTTGGTGTGCATGCACACTTCCTCAGATACAAATCTGTATCTGAGGAAGTGTGTGTGAACACCAAAGCCCATACATTGAATAAAACTTTGTTGGTCTTAAAGGTGCCACTGGGCTCAAACTTTGTTCTGCTGCTTCCATTGTTTCAATTTATCCAACTCATTAACGTCCACAGTAACAGGCGACTATGAAAAAAAGCTCCACAACAGTCATGACATCTGATATAGATGGTCCCTGCAACAGAGTATTAGGGCTATGCCTCAGTGAACTGAGTGATTTATGTGGAAATGAAACAAATGAACATTTTCAACGCTTAGTTGATACTAGGGCCAATGACCACAGTCAACTCTGATCTTGCCTGGATCAAGATTTTATTTATCCAGCCCATTACCAACCTTAGTTATTGAAGAATTAGACTGCTGCAACTTGTTCAAATGGAAAGGAGAAATAGAGCTGGGCACCATCAACATCTACTCTAGGCCTCCAATAATATCTTCCAGAGAGATTTAATTATTTAGATGTTTATAAACTTGCCTTTAAGACAGACCCCAAGGTGGTTAAAAGGTAAAGGTTCCCTTGCTCAAAAGCCAGTCGAATCCGACTCTAGGGTTGCGGTGCTCATCTCCGTTTCAAAGCTGAAGAGCCAGCGCTGTCCGAAGACATTTCCGTGGTCATGTGGCCGGCATGACTAAACACCAAGGTGCACGGAACGCTGTTACCTTCCCACCGAAGTGGTACCTATTTATCTACTTGCAATTTCTTGCTTTCGAACTGCTAGGTTGGCAGGAGCTGGAACTAGAGATGGGAGCTCACTCCATCATGCGGCACCCGGGTCTCGAACTGCTGAACTCCTGCCCTGCCACAGCCTGCAGTTCATGCAGTTCAGCGTCTTAACCACTTGAGCCACCGCAGCTCCTAAAAGGTAAAGGTTCCCTTTCTAGAAAGCCAGTCGAGTCTGACTCTAACCAAGGTGGTTAGCAACAGGTTAATATACAAATATTAATGCACAAAATTAAAATGTAACAATGCCATCATTTAACTATATCCCAGAGGACAATTGAGAAATTTTAAATGAATTTTTAAAATATGGGAGATTTATGAATGCTCACATGTGAAACACTCTTCCGGAACTAACGGCTAGAACAGAGGTGTCAAACGTATTTGTTATGAGGGCTGGATCTGACATAAATGTCAGTTTGTCATGCTGGGCCATGTATGCCATGAAATGTTATGCCAGATACCAGAGATATAAACTGTATAAAGGAGAGCAGCTTGTAAGCTCTGAGTTGGTGCATCCTCAACTGCAAGGCCCCATGGGCTGGGAGGGGGGTGCAAAGGAAACCCCATATGGGCAGACTGGAGAGCCAGCGGTGAAGCACTGGGCAGATGCTTCCCACACTGCTTGACTGCTACAGACGAGGTTGTTTCGCCATGCTGAAGCCACAATCGGAGTGGCTCCGCCCATTCCTCCCTGAGGAGTCTCCTGCTCCCTCCATTGCACTGGTTGCTCGCGGGCCACATAAGAACCCTGGATAGGCCAGTTCCGGCCCCCAGGCCTTATGTAGCAACTCAGGTAGGAGTTCACGTAGTTGACCTAGAAGGACACCATTATCAGTAGTTCCAAAAGCTATGAAGAGGTCCAGTAGATTCCATAGGGTCACATGCAGTCTCCATCCCAACAAACTTTCTCAGTCTAGTAGCTTTCAATGCTCCCTCTAAGCTGTGGAGTCCTGTGAGCAAAAATTCTACTTTCTGAGTTACTGGCATTAAAGTTGTGAGCACGCGATTTGGCTACTGCAGAAATTAGTTTGCTCTGGAGCCATCCTTCCTGAGCTAAGACAAAAATGTGTGAGCCGGAGGCTAAAAAACTGTGAGCTAGCTCACACTAACTCATCTTAGAGGGAACACTGGTAACTTTGTAGAAATAATTTGAAATAGGCCCAGTTTATTACTACCATACAGAAGTACTTAGAGTTATTTGGCTACTGTTTGTTCAGCTACTTTGGTTAGAAAAAGGGTATATGATACTGGCCTATAATTTCCCAAATCACAAGGATTAACTAAAATCCTCTTTAATGTGGGTATTGTTCTTGCCTCCTCCTAGCTATTTACCATAAAAGTCTTACATCAGTGAGGCATTCATGATGTTAAACAGGTAATTGATTTCCCCCCACCCTTTCTGAACTGGCTGCGAAGAGTAGGGGCTAAACATGTACATGGCACTCAAAGAACCAGAGACCCTGTGTACAATCTTGAGAATGTAAGATAGAAACGTCAGTAAAATAAAATCTGAAGAGCAGAACTGCTGATGACTTTTAATAAATGATAGCATGAAGGTCAGAGTGGGTGAGACCAATTTTACCCATGAGTAACATAATGGAATTGCTACAGTGGTCTGCTAAGGGTTCTGAGCCACCCAGTGAAGGAGAACCAGGTTCTAAAACCCTTCAGCCACTTGGAAATGCTCTGCTGGATGGAGTGTGTGGACATGAAAGTAACAGGGAAGTCAGAGTATTGCTGTGGAATAGGCTTCAGATATCAGTATTTTTCACACTTTTGGAAATGTGACCCAGTTCTAAACTAAGGACTTACTTGCACATGAAAACGTGAACACGTGAAACTGCCTCATACTGAATCAGACCCTGGGTCCATCAAAGTCAGTATTGTCTACTCAGACTGGCAGCAGCTCTCCAGGGTCTCAGGCAGAGGTCTTTCACATCAACTCCTACCTTGCAAAGTATTTGCAAAGTAACTCCACACTACTTTTCCACTCCCCAGCATAAAACACAGGAATTTCACTTCAGTCAGCACTGGATGGATTTGTATTTTTCATTTTGTATTTAGAATACTAAACATTTATTTATTTATTTGTTGGATTTCTATACCGCCCTCCCAAAGGCTCAGGGCGGTTCACAGGCGGCAAAGCCGGAATCTAAAATACAATAAAACATACAATAAAATACAATATTTAACCCCAAAAACCATCCTATAACACGGTGCTATATCATTCAACCAAGATGGGAATAACCATCCAGCTTTGGTGGCCAGCTATCTCAGTAGCGTCCCGCTACTGAGCAAGGAACAGGCTATATTTCATAGTCATCTTATACATTATGCAGGGAAGAGCTCGATAAATCCTAGGTCAGGTCACTTTGTGTGTATTTGTGTTAAGTGCTGTCAAGTCGCTTCTGACTTATGGCCACACTATGAATTAATGTTCTGCAAAACAACCTCTCGTTAACAGCCATTCTCAGGTCTGGCAAATTGAGGGCAGTGGCTTCTGTGATTGAGTCAATCCATCTTATGTTGGGTCTTTTTCTTTCCAACTTTCAGGCCCAAACATAGTAATAGGGAATTATCTTGAACTTCGTCACCAGTGACACATCTTTACACTTATGAATCTTTTCCAGCTCCTTCATGGCTGCCCTTCCCAGTCTCAATCTGCTTCTGACTTCTTGGTTGCAGTCTCCCTTTTGGTTGATAGTGGAGCCAAGGAATAGAAAATCTTTAACAATTTCAATTTCTTAATTGAAAAACAAATACGATAAATAAATAATAATCCTTAAACTTCTGTAATTCCCCAGTAATGATCACTTTTGTCTTCTAGATGCTCA